GTTCTGTACGAACTCTTCCGCGTGATCAACAAGTGAGTAGACCGGATTTGTTTCTCGCTGTCGGGTCTGCTCAAAATGCAGCCGATTCGCCTGGGTCGAACGGTAGCCATGTTTCTTGCTTCTCTACTGCCCTACAGATAAACGCTACGTTTAAATATTTTGAAATGAATCCTCTAATTTTTTGTGATTTCAAGAAATAACTTGGATGCTGAAAGTGAAAGTGTGTTGTAAGGCCTCTCATTTTACGTACAGAATATTTTCTAGAGAATAGAACATGTTTTCTGCAAGTAGTGGGAGACCATATTTTTGGACTGCCTAATAAAAAACAAACGTTTGTTTTAACGTTCCTGTTTATCCCCTGCGCCACCTGCTTGCCTACATTCTGTTATTACGTAGACCACTCCAGTTTTGGAAACTTACTGGGTGCGGAGAACGTCATTCCCGAATTGCTTTGCTGTGCGTTACTAATGGAAGTATGTATTTTTTTTCCAAATTTAAACAAGCTGCAAGTTGGACGTCCGCACGCGAGGCCTGACGGTCTTCTTCGAAATTTTGAAGACCTACGGCTCCACCTTCCATCTCGCCTGGTGGAATCAAATTTTCAAGCTCATCTTCTCCATCTTCGAACACGGCCGAGATACGACCAGCACACCCCAAACTCCACAGACAGACGTCAACAAGGTCAACCGGCAACGACTCATTAGTAATTGCGAGGTCGAACTGCCCGCCATTAGCCACCGTGTCTTCACTAGTGCTGCTGATCGAAGCGAATGGCTGAACACTACCTGCAATCATGCTCTCTACTCCGTGGTCGACATTTTCACCCAGTTCTTCGACCAGATTGGCAGCACTCTCCTATGTAAGCCCGCCAATCCTACCGCAAACCGTCTGATACTTGCGCGTCACCCTTTAGTGTAAAATAAGGCATTGGAAAGCACTGGCGCCGCTGATTTTTAATTCTCAGCTAAACTAACAAACAAAGTAGGTGAGAAGTAGTAACTGAAATTTGCACAGGCCTCGGAATCCCAACTACAAAGGTTGCAAAACCTATTTCACTAGAGGGCAAGCCTGTACTTCTTATTCTTGATGAGCAAGGTATTTCACGCAAAATTCCGAAATTTGTGCAAGATTGTAAAACGGCATTAACTAGGGTTGTGATATTTATTATCCTGCAGTCTAATCTCACGTAATTTATGTCACGTCAGGATGCCTGCTATTGAACAAGTTGGTTTTTGCCGGCTTATAACATGTATGTTCTATAAAATAAGTGGCCGCTTATTTAGTATGCGTTTAACTCATTAATTTTAACTGCTTTTATAAGTTCAAATATATTTTGTAGAAAACATTCGCAAAATTATTTTCTCTTTCGTAGAAAATTACGCTTTCTCCAAATTTTATACCTAAAGAAAGGATATATTTCGGTTTAGAAAATTCTAATTATGATATTTTTTACGACTGTAAAGTGCTCATTCATGATAAATCATCTCCATCGATTTATTAATGTCGCCTTTAACGTATACAGCACGATCCACATCTATTACGAAATTCTACGAGATCTATGTGACCTCTTTCTGACACCGTATTGAAAAACGTACTTTCCCTAACTAAAGATATACACAGCACGCAGTTTGGAAACTTCGCTTTCATTTGTAACTGCCAGTAGGTTTCAGAACTATTCGGCTATTTATGAACTTTTTAAAATCTAAATATAACCTTTTAATTCTAAATTTTCAAGAAGGCATATTTTACTACCGAACGAGTACAGGAAGGAATAATTTTACGAATGTTTTCTATCAAAAATATTTCAATTTTCAAGAGCAGCTAAATCAATGAGTTGAATGGCTACTATTTAAGTAGCCACTTTTTACAGAAGATGACTATTTTAAAAAGCCGACTTTCTGCCGTGACTAAAATGACTTGAGATTAGGCTGCACGATAATCAGTATTACAACCGTACTTAGTACTCGTTTGTGAGCGATTGTCAATTTTTCGCAAATGTCGGAATTTTGAATGAAATACCGGCCGCACTGTACTTACACTGCTTAAGTACTTTGAATGCATACTCTGTATGTTCCTTTTTATTGATAGTAACTCCGAGCATAGTGAAATCGTTGTTGGCTTTTTTGCATTTTGACCACCCGCATATCGACACCTTCCTAGGAGACTGCCGTGTCTCACAGGTAGTAGTAAGCCATGACTTGGGGCTACTGTCTACCAATTTGCACCTATTTTTTTCCAACGGTCTCCATTTTAATTATTTAAAAAATGCAGTTTTCTTGTTTTATCATGTCGTTTCAATGCATTAGTACACAGTAAGAACGTACTGATAAATGTTGTCTTGCGTATTCCGCGTGTTAAATTTCCTTTTTAGAACTATCGTTAGACGGGGCTTCTAAATCAGTAATAAGCATTGAGACATACTGCTCGCGTGCTCCGCCGGTTATTTCAGCCTCGCAGTTTTT